TATTACAGCACTGCCTAATGGACAAATATGATGTTTGTGGTGCAGATCACATCTGCACAGAATGTTATTGATCAAGTAACATAACAGGAAACGACACACACTAGACAACAGATGATACATGATGCACTAGACAACAGATGATACATGATGCACTAGACAACAGATGATACGTGTTTAAAAAAAGATCTGAAGCCAGAGGACAAATGAAGAAGCGCTCAGAGTCTGAAACTCTTCTCCATTACAAAACCACACAAGGTCTTTTCTGTGCTTTCGTCCTCGCCGTTCGTTCATGTCCAAACCTGCACAGAGAGGATCAGAGAGAGAGAGAGAGACGGGGGAGAGTGAGCTTAAACTGAGAGTGAAAGGGAGAGGGAGAGAGAGAGTGTGTCGGTGATTCATCCCCCCCCCACCCTGTAGTCCAAAGGGATGAAGAACAATGACTCCATTCAGCTCTTGGGTTTCAAAGTCGACAGAAACCGCAAGTGCTTCAGAGCGGGTGTTTGGAGACGGAGGGCGGGCGGGTTTGTGTTCGCAAATATGAAAGAAACGAGTGCACATCCAGCAGCAAAAAGGTTCTGTGTCAGCGTAAAGGATCTACAGCAAGCTCTTTGAAGCTTCTCATTCATGAGTATTTTAATTAATTGCGATGCTTTGATCCTAGAGCTGAAACGATTAGTCAATTAATATATTTGTTAATTGGAATACTTTATTTCATTTGATAGATTTGATATCTTTTTGTTTTCGTCTGTTGGTCAGAAAAAAGAAGATATCTGAAGACATGTCTGTGGGCTTAACAATGAGCACTACGGTCTTATTTTTTCTTAGTTTTAGAAGCGTTCTGACACATTGGTAAAAGTCAGCTGTTCCTTGTTAAAACATCAGCGTTTGGGGTCGTGGTGTGAATGAAGTTTTTTTCACCCCATCACAAAAAGAGCTCGGAGTTCCCCAGGGCACCGATGTAGGTCCTCTCAGGTTTCCTTTTATTTAATCATTTGAGCCCTTATTGCTCTTTTTGTTCAGCACTTTCACACCTTTTCTATTAATACCTCACGGGCTTCTTTCATTTCTTCTTCCCCATCTTAATTCAATTTTCAATTCAATTCAATTTATTTTTGTATAGCCCAAAATCACCAATTACAAATTTGCCTCAGAGGGCTTTACAATATGTACACATTAATCAATCTTCTGGGGACTAAAATAGTTCATTGTTGCTGCACTGAAACGCTGAACCACTAAACCAGATCTCCTCCGGCTATGAGTGGTGGCTATATGAGTGTGTTAGAGGCCCTCACTCTGAGCATGCCCAGACAGCCCCCCTCCTTCACACACACACACACACACACACACACACACACACACACACACACACTCTTACACACCAAAACCACACTAAGGCAACAGTGAAACTGAAGACAAAGACGTACACTCTTGAAAAATTCTTGCGTCTAGTTTTTGGGTAACACATCTTTACTCAATATTTGTTAACAACCCCCACACACGCCACATACTGTTTGTGTCATGTTTATGAACAAATGTTCCATATCTGCACTTATAGTCATTATTCAGTCTCTTAACATGTGTAAAAAGTTTTTCCTTTAATCAACGGAGAACACAAGTTTGATCCTGTGCTGTTTCTGTTCGGGCTGCAGAGCATTTTATTGCCGTAATGCTTTTCTTTCAGCCGGTGGATGTCTAAAGTTAGAGTTGCAGTCTTCATCAGAAATTGTATTTGGGTGAGACGATCCTTGTTAAGCGTCGGTTATTAAATAGCAGCTTAAATCCCATGATGCTTTGCTCTCTCTCCTTCTCCAACTATCATTCCAACATCGTGAGCGAATGTTTGCAGGTTTCACTAAATATAAGACAACACACACTTTTCACGTTATTGGCAGAAAGAATTATCTTTTGTAAAAGTTATAAGAAAGATGTTTGTTTAGAATAAAACAGCACTTATTAGTCGATTCATTGATTAGTAGATCGTTAAAAAATGTAAGAATCTTTCTGCTTTTCTTTGTGAAAATTAAATATCTTTGGGTTTCAGACTGATGGATGACAATGGAAACGTTTGGACAATCTTTGGTATTTAAATGAACACCTTCCCAGCAACTGCTTCACAATCACCTTTGAGCAATTCCTTTAACGGGTGAAACAGCCGGTATAAAGCTGCTAAATGTCTGTGGTTGTAACGGGAAGCTCCCAGGTGGGAATCTTCACAATGCTGGGAATGTGAACCAGAGCGTTGCCGGGTAAAGTGTGCTCAGCTTGCTACCTGGATAAATGAACATGTAAACGTATGCACCTATTTAGGCTGACCCACAGTGTGAAACACTGCTGTGGACCTGCAGAAGAAAAGAGAGTTCTAGTGTTTAAATTCATGAGAAGTGAGAGTGCATGAAATCAATTGGCGCTGTTGTGTTGTGCAGTAAATCATGTTGAATGCCATGGGAGCAGTACAATATCTAGCAAGAAGAGAGAGAGCAGAGGATCATGGGATTAAAGCTGTTATTTAAGCTTTGCATGTGGACACATTTCACAACACACATTGATTTACCAAAGGTTCAGTGTGAGGACCGGTGAGGGCGACGGGTATCCAGTCATGATTCACGGCCACATCTGTGAAGCCTTTTGCACCTTTAGTATATTTGAACTTTAACTTCAAGTTTGGTACATTTACAAACCTCCAATATGTGTGAAACAAGTGAAATGTCTGCTCTGGGAACGCGAGTGGTTGGCAGCGCCATTAATCAAACTACATAAAACAGGTGGTGGAGTAAACTTCACGCATTTTGTTTGCTTTTTTCACCGTTTATTAACAAGCTGATTTATTTAAGTCTTTCTCGGTTCGTACCAGTTTCTACCTCCTCGGCTCTTTGGGGTATTCTGGGATTCGTACCGGCTGTGTTCTCTCATCTCGTCATGTTTTTATGGATCAAACCAGCCACTCGTGGCGTGCTTTCTGTTTGGGCACCAGATAGTTTGGTAAATTTCCTACCACGGCTCCAGAAAGTCTTCTTTGATACAAGCTTCTGAAATGTAACGCCACCTGGTCTTCTTCCCTGGGAGGAGAGTTAATGAGGCACTGGGACGTTTCCCTTTTCTTTGTGCTGTAGTGGGTTTAACCAACCCATCTGGTTGGCATGTTCTTGTCTTTGTACTCGGCTGTTATGGCAAATCTCAAATTATCCGACTCTTTTGTGGCTCTAACCAAACTGTGCGTGTTCCTTTGGCGTGTCCGTGTCCACTTATTTGCTGTCTTGCCGGGAGTTAGATGAGAAGATTGATACCACTCTGATGTCTGTACGGTAAATATGAAGCTACAGACAGCAGCAGGTTAGCTTAGCTTAGCATAAAGACTGGAAACAGGGGGAAACTGCAAGCCTGACTCTCTCCAAAAGTAACAAAATCTACCTTCTAACATGTTAAAGCTCATTAATTATTATATCTTGTTTGTTCACTTTCTTTGCACTGAAAGTTGATCAAAAATAATAAATAGAACAAATAGGATGTAAAAACCTAAAGGTGGACTTTTCATCTTTTTAGGTGTGAGACATTTTTAAAGCTCCTATTTCAGAGTAAAACTTGAGCTTGTCACATATAATCAGCTCTGTATAACTTGTGTCGTGGAGTTATAAACTTATAATCAGAGGGTTGTGATCCAGTGTCTCTAAATTACACATGAAATGCTCTTCATGATGGTTTTCTTGGAGAAGACGCTGCATGTTTCCGTCTGCACACATGAGCGCTATATTAGAAAACCAGCTCGATCCGGATCGATCGAGTCTCCGAGGCCGGCGTCGACCACTTCACATGACTCTGGTCCTCCAGAGCGGCCTCCCCGCTGCGCTCGGTCCGCTTTGGGAAAACGTAACGGCCAACGGGTAATTTTGTGGCTCTGCCTGTTATCCTCATTTGGCCTGGAGGGCTGAGTCAGCCGTGTGTGTGTGTGTGTGTGTTTTTGAGGCATTGAATTCCAAACCTAGTGCTTGAATTGGTTCAGCATATGTGCCAGTACTCCAAACCAGCATCCTGCAACTGATTATATTCTATTGATTATTCAGTTATTTGTTGGTCAATTCAAATAACTTTATTGGCATGACATCACTTCATTTTAATCATTTTTTTGTCTTTAAAAGTTTTCAGAGCTCAAAGTGACATCTTCAGACAATCAAAAGTCCCCAAAAAATTGCCCAAAAGATTATTCTGTTATTAAAATATTTGCAGATTCGGGGCAAAAATAGTGTGCAGAATGTATTATTTGAAGAGTTCAAAGTACTCATAATATAAAATACTAAGAGTACTATGAAACAAAGCATCCTCGCTATACAGAGGACAGAGAATTAAAGAAGAGAAGTAAAAAGCGTACTTCTCTGATTTACTTCTTCCTCCTTTGAGGACTTATTTTACTCTGTAAACCAGAAATAAATGAAAGATTGAAGCTTATATATTGATTCATTTCATTTCCTCGTGTTTTTACTGGTTTCCTCCACCTGCTTCCTCTCTAAAAGGATATTTGAAGGTTATTTTTCTCTTGTTCTTCTGCTGCTGATAAGAACTGCTTGATAAGTGCCAGAGGAGGAAGAGGAAGAGGAGTTGAGTGACAGTGTTGTAAGACGGCAGGAAACCTCAGGTGGCTCCACCCTGACAGAAAGAGACGGAGATGTTCCTCTTTGTCTTCGTCCTCACTTCTCTTTTCTCTCCATGTTTTGTAAACACAATCAGCTGTTTGTTGCCTGGTTGCTGGTTGCTGCTGCATCATTGTCATTGAAATGTTGCGCAAACTTTGTACAGAGATTCGCACACTGGGTGGAGAAAAGTAAAAATTTCGTTTCACTTCCTGTCAGTGCTTCTGTGTTTTTATCAGGAATGTGTGTTAAAACAACAAAAATCTGCCTTTTTTTTGGCCCAGAATGCAGCTAATTCGTTTCTTCTCAACCTTAAAAGTTTCTTCTTCTGTGGATCAAAACGCTGACAGTTTTCTTCTTCTTCTTCTTCACCTCCAGCCACCATGAAGAAAGGCCAGAACAGCTCCAGCTGGACCAGCGAGCGGAGCCTCATGTTCGGGGGCAACGTCCCGAGCGCGCCGACTCCGTCCACCTCCTCTTCCTCAGGAGCTTTCTCCTCCCAGGTGGCCTCCATCGACGGCGTGGGCTTCAGTGAGGGCGACCTGCTGCTTCAGGTAACACCTGAGCGACGTTTAGTGTTGAAGAGGAGAAGCAGCCTGAAGCTCTGGGTGACATTTATTTTTTATTCTTGGTGTTTCAGGCGCTGAACGGCTTCGTGTTGGTGGTAACGGCTGAAGGCTACGTCTTCTATTCGTCTCCCACCATCCAGGACTTCCTGGGCTTCCACCAGGTAAACATGAGCTGATGATCAATAATAGTAGAAGAAGAATGAAGTTCACTTTGATTGGCCTTCTCGAAACCAACGTTAGGAACTGCTTTACGCCCAAAAATGATTAAGAACCAAATACAAAGGGAGACTTCTTGTACACATTAACTGTAAAAAGAACATTTTAACGTTTCTTTTGCATAAATAGAACCACATTAAACCGAAATGAGCCCCAATAAAGAGACTGAGAAGAGAGCTCATGTTAATATATATATATATACATATATAAAGATTTCTGCATTTGGGAGATTTAAATGATAATATATATATAAAAATCGTTGCCTGGGGAGAGTGCAACACACCCTTATACACACAGGATTTATTTACCGTGAAACACTTTATTTATACAGCAGATTTGCATATTAAGGAGCAGACATGTGATGCCTTATGTATCTTAATAAGTACAAACAGCAGTAGCAGTACAAGTTTTAATAGTACTACAGTCGACCTTTCACAATAAAGTGTTGGATAAATATTAGATAATAACCTTAGAGGAGCGTTTTGTTGCAGAGCTCCAGTTTTATTTTTTTGTTCTGGCCAGCTGCGTTCAAGAGTGATGATGCAAGTGTAAACACACACACACACACACACACACACACACACGGTGAGGAGTCGAGTGGATGAATGCCACCGTTGTGCTGAAGGCACCTCTCGTCTTTCGACACAAAACCTCCTTTGTCAACGCCGCTGATCCGAACTGCTCGGCAGGCTTTGTTGAGTTCAAAGACACCCTGAAGTCAGGATTTGTGAGCTCCAGAGGTTTTTTTAACCACGACAGAAGATTGTTTTATCTATTTTATCTAGAAGACAATCAAATTATGATGATTTAATGTTTCTTTAAATGACAAAATCTAATCTGAACTATACAGATGTAGTTTGTTAACTTTGTCTCAAAAGGCTGGAAAAGAAGGCAAGATGGATTATCTACTTTGTATTTATTCAGATTTGTTCCAGTCCTAAATGTGCATATGTTTTACTAATAATACCTCCAGGATTGCTGTAATTTCATTCTTAATAGATCGATAAATACTGGTGTGTTTCTCTGCAGTCGGATGTCGTCCACCAGAGCGTGTTTGAGTTGATCCACACCGACGACCGAGCTCTCTTCAGACGGCAGCTTCACTTCGCTCTCAACCCGAATACCAGCCAGCAAGACGGCAGCGCGGAGAGTCTCAGTGAGCTCACGACAATATATGAATGTGTTTTACACCTGAGCAACACAGTGACAGATAGAGAAGCTTATCCTCCAAAATACACTGTGAATACGTAACATACCTGCAGATGAATATCAATAAGTGCAAAGAACAAAAGAGGTTCATATGTGTGGGTTTACTTCATGCATGTTTAATGAGCAGAGTAATCTTCACAGATTTACACGTTTGTCATTTACATGTTTTGTGCAGTTCTAAATATAAAAACACAAAATATATAATCATAGAAGGCGTTTCTGATATCCAGTCTGTTCATTATACAAGGAAATTATTATTCATCCTTATTTGTACCATATTTTCTTTTTGCTTGCGAAGCTCTTTCTAAATATAGATAATAATATAGATGATTATCAACATTAGATGGAAGTAAATGTTAAATATGTCCTCGCTGCTGCAGGCGAGCAGAGCTCGGCGGAGGTCAGCACCAACGTGATGACCTACGACCCCCAGGCCATCCCTCCCGAGAACTCGTCCTTCCTGGAGAGAAACTTCTGCTGCCGTTTCCGCTGCCTGCTCGACAACTCCTCCGGCTTCCTGGTACAAACACACGCACCGTCTTTAAGAGTTAATCTGCCAGAAAGAACAACAACAACAAATGTTTAAAGGTGTGTTTTTTTGTCTCCAAGGCCCTGAACTTCCGCGGCCGCCTGAAGTTCATCAACGGCCAGAACCGGGTGTCGGAGGAGGGGTCGCTGGTTCCGCCGCAGCTCGCTCTGTTCTCCATCGCCACGCAGATGCAGTCGCCGACCATCCTGGAGATCCGCACCAAGACGCTCATCTTCCAGACCAAACACAAGCTGGACTTCACTCCCATGGGCATCGACAACAGGTGGACACACACACACACACACACACTAAGCAGATTTATGAATCTGTGACCTTTAATTCAAACATGTAAATAGTTTTTATTTGAATGTGACTATTTATTTGCGCAGAGGGAAGGTGGTTCTGGGTTACAGTGAAGTGGAGCTCTGCATGAAAGGTTCCGGCTACAACTTCATCCACGCTGCAGACATGATGTACTGCGCCGACAACCACTTGAAGAGTGAGTCACCGATGAAGCTCATCGGAGGGGTTCAAATGAGCAATTTGAAGACTTTATCTTTAGACTAATGCACCACGTTTTGAAACTGATCTGACATGAAAAGATGAATCTCCTCAATAACTTTAAATTGTCTGTTTTACTTTTACATTAATCTGACTGGTTGAAAGTGACACAGAAACGTTTCTAGGTCTGTTATATATTGACTCTCTCTGTGTCGTTCTCAGTGATGAAAACCGGAGAAAGCGGCTTCACCGTCTTCAGACTTCTGGCCAAGACTGGCGTGTGGATCTGGGTCCAGGCCAACGCCAGGCTGGTCTTTAAAGCCGGGAAACCGGACTTCATCGTGGTCCGGCAGAGAGCTTTGATGTAAGTTAAAAACCAAAGAGATGACGGTGTTTTTTTGTGCGTGATGGTTTACATGAGGAGCAGAGACCTACTCTTGTTTTTTGCCACAGAAATGAAGAAGGGGAAGATCAGCTCCGCCTCCGTCGCCTCCAGTTGCCATTCAACTTTACCACTGGAGAGGCGCTGCTTTACGATGTCGCTCCAACCGTCGATGTCCCCGACCCTTGCTCCGGCCCCAAGCAAAGGAAGTTGGACGATTACACCGTCAGCCGCGAATCCATCCTGGGCTGCATGCTGAGTCAGGACCAGTCTCTCTACTGTGAACACAACAAGAACAACGCCTTCAACACCCTCAACGATGCCGCCTTCAAAGACACCCACGCCACGGTCAGCGTTCCCAGAGATATGTGGGAGCTGGCGACACCCAAACCCCCCGTAGGGAGCCTGGTGAAGTCCGAGGCCACGGTTCAGGACATGATGGAGACCCTGCAGCAGATCCTCAGGGAGAACGACCTCAGCGACACCCTGGACGTCGGGCCCGAGGAGCTGAAGAGCTGGGAGAGCACCCTGCTGAAGATGAGCAGCAGCAGCTGCGAGATGAACGAAAACCTGGACGACATTCTCAGCAACGACATCCTGATGTACGTGGAGGAGCAGCTGCAGAGGGAGGGCGGGCTCAAGCTGCCGGATCAGCTGGACGTCATGCCGGACTACCTTTCCACTTTCCAGAACCGGAATCCAGAGCAGGAGCAGAACTTCGGCTGGCCCCTGGAGCCCCAGAACCAGCTGATACCAAATGGAGGGCAGATGGTAGCGGGACAAGCGCCCCCAATCTTGGCCCACATGAAACTGACCCACATGGATGTTCCTCAGCTGGGTTTAAACGGTCCAACCCTTCAGCAGACCACTTCTGTTGGTCTCCAACTGGGTCCAACCCTTCAGCAGACCACTTCTGTTGGTCTCCAGCTGGGTCCAACCCTTCAGCAGACCACTTCTGTTGGTCTCCAACTGGGACCTCCTGGTGCTCCAGTTACCTTCAGCCCCTCCATGGCGGCTCAAACACAGAATCAGGTCAGAACCCTGCAAGGTGCAGCCAAAGACAACAACCGCGGATCATTCTCGCTCAGGCAACCTTCAGCCAATCAGATTCAACCCAACCAAACGGCTCAACCAATGCAGAGCCACCTTCAGATGAGGACGCCGAACATACCGACCGGCCTCCAGGACCAAAGCGCTACAAGACAGTTAAATCCTGGGTTCAACGTTCAGGGAAACCAGTGGAACTCCTCCTCCAACGCAAGCCGAGCAGACAACTTTGTAGAAACGTATGCTCAAAATATTTCAACTTTCCCCACAAGTTTGTCCTCGTCGAGCTGCGTGCAGGGCCGCTTTGCACTTAAGACACAAAACAACGTCAACCAGAGGCTGCCTTGGTCGCTGGACCAGCAGCTGATCTCAGGTGGACCCCAACAGATGGGCGCCCGCCTCAACCAAACGTCAGGATTTCAGAGGAATCCTCTGCATGCCGTTAACAGCGGTCCGATGTTCAGGACTCCGGAGACTTCAAACGTGCCGTTTCCCGTTCAGAAAATCACGGAGCCGCCGCCTCCTTCCGCTCCTCCCAGCAGCTGTATGTTCACAAACGGCCCCACGTCCGTGCCTGTGAATGGAGTCCACATCAGCCAGAGACTGAACCCCGTCGGACACCAGATTCCCTCCAACCCCTCCTGCTTCTATCAGGGTCTCCCCAGAGGGGCGTCCGTGCCGGGCATGACGACCGTCCCGGATCCGGATGAGGCGCAGCTGTCCTTCCAAGTGACGGCCGGACTCGACCCGGACGGCCTGCTGCTGCAGCAACAGCAGCAGTACCTGAACTTCAGTGAGCAGACGCAGGTAAGTCGGTGACAGCAAGACCAATTGTTACTGTAAATCCTACTTTTTTATTTCTTTTCTTTATTTCCAACCATCCAGCTTTGTTTGATGTATTTTTTTAAATAATAAAGTAATCTTTGTCTTTTCTGATTTCACAGATCAACAACCGTCCAGTCGTCGGGAACGGAGTCTTCCCGTTCTCCTCGCTGCCCAACCGGAACGCCTACTACTCAGAGAACCAATAGGAACCGGCCGCCGGGACTTCTGGACGGCAGAGGATCCCGCCAACAGGAAACAGAAAGACTCGTGTGGATCAGACTGACGAACAGAAGGAGGACGAGGAGACCCAGCAGGACGCCTCTCCTTCCTCTTTTCTCTTCTTATTAGGAAACAGTGATGGCGGCTGTGTGGTTCAGGATATCTGGTCTTTGAGGAGGAAACAATTTATTTGTGTGGAGTTTAATCAAAGGAAAAAAAGCATGAATTCCCTTTTTGGAGCTGGTTGGATTATACCAAATAAAACAAGCTCGTCTGGGTTTTCGACCACGTTGACGGAAGTTTGTCTGCAGCTCATCGTCGTCTCTTTATCGGAGGTCAGACCTCAGGCCTCATCCCTGAAGTCTTTTCTTTAACCACACACACACTGTACAAAAACACAAATCTGACTCTTGTGTGTCCAAGTACGTCATCGAGCTGCAGTGGGCTCATCACTGCCCCCTGTGGCCGGAGAACAGAAGACACCCACTGCAACTACAGTAGCTTTTAGTTAACGCTTCACAGACGAAATCCACCAGCAAATTTATGCTTTTTGGCTTTTTAATCTTCCCTCCTGTGACGTATGAAGTTAGTATGTGTGGAACATACTGGGTTGGAAGAACATGTTGGATGTTGTGAGGGCAGTTTCTGCTTTCCGTTGCAGCTAAAAACTACCATAACGTACTGATTCTCTGCGACCGCCACAGCCGAGCATTGCATCAAACTTTACTTCTTCAGAGGGAAATGCATCATTTTATGTCCTGCATCAAACAAGAGAAAGGACTTAGAGATCTGAGTGAACCTGGATGAAAGGATCCTCTGCCGTCTCCTACGCACAAACGCCATACTCCCTAAAAACCTGTTTTCTAATTTGAGCGCTCAGAAGGATAAAATATATCTATAAATATCTTTTGTTGCTGTTTTTGTCCTTTTGAAAATGCGTCTTGATTACGTTAATGTCAACTCTTTGCTGTCCCAGTGAGGGAGATTTAGATCTGCAGACAGCGTATTAAAAAGAAAACGCACAACAAACTCTTTTTTATATTTTAAGAGCATTCAGTCAGAGCGTTTATCACCGAGCCAGCACTTCTTTCTTCTTTGATGTTTCTGTGTTGTTGTTGTTTTCCTGTTGTAGGGAGAAAGATACAGACGGTGCCTTAAACTGACAGAACGCAAAACCTCAAAATGACATTTTAATATTTGCATAAAAAAAGGTATCGTGGAAATTTAATATTTGATTGAAACCAAACTTGCCTTAAACTTCACGGAGCCAATTTGTGTGAGATTGTTTTTGCACTGTTCCTTTAAAGTGTTTACCAAAGCACAGTCAAGAGGAGTAATTCACAAAAATAAGAGCTTCATCCTCCAGATTATGTCTTATTTTAATATGACCCAACTTTAAATTCATGATAAGTAAAGAGATTTATTTCAAAGTAGGTTTTATTAGATCCAAACCTGAAAGTTGGTAATCAATCTCTGATCACTGAGACTGGACCCTTTATTCATTTCTCCGTCCTCTTTCCTCTTTCCTCTTTCTGTCCTTGTGGTTAATTTATCAACGTTCTTGCTCGGACGTCCGGCAGCAAGAAAGACAGAAGTAAAACAGTTTAAAGGCAGCTATTGTATTTTATTTTTTAAATGAGGAAAAGAAATGGAAAACTCTTCACATGTGCCTTCAATTGACATCTTTTCGATTGTCTGATTATTTTTAAATCAGCACTTCGATTGAAAAGAAACACGAAAGAGCCTCAAACTGCAAGAAATGTGCGTCGCTTCCTCCGATACTGAGCCATGAAATCTGATTCATCAGCACTTTGTAAAGAAACAATTCTTCTAGAATAAGTAGGTTTCAGCTGATTTATAGAAGCTGCAAAAGACCAAAGTAGTGACAGCGGACTTAAATGCCAAAAAGAGAGCCATCTGTGATGTTTAACTCTGCAGGATACCAAAGGGAAAAGACGGTTTCATGAGCAGGAAACAGACCACAACGATTGCACCTGAAGACGGTTTGACATTCACCAACTAAGAATAAGATGCGTTCATGTCCCAAGTTTCCAGTCGCACTTAAATCTGCCATATTTAGTTTTTTCTGACAGCTTCTAAATGTCCAACTTGGTGCTCAACAGTGCAGCAAAAGGCAAACAAATACGTAAGCCTGTCGTTAAAAAATGTCTCTAGTTGCTGCTTTTCTTTGTCACATCATTTTAAACAGAATATATTTATGTTTTAGACATTTTAAAACAGGAAGCAATCAATGTTTTTAATATTTTATAGACATTGATGAGACAAATCATTGTTTTGTAGTTTTAATTATGACTTGGTGGTTGACATATGGATTTGGGACACCACTTGTGACTTGCTGAAAGGCATTCTGGGTAATGTAGTGAACCCCTGACTGCAGTAGTAAAGGAGGCAGGTTGGGTTACAGTTTGTTATGATTGCTTTGGCTCAAGTTTTACAACATAACGTGCAAAACCTTTCATTTTAAGGCTCAAAATGTATCACATTTAATCATAAAGATTATTTGGTTGCAAGTATTTAAAATGATGCAATACTTTCCTTTAAGATCATGTAGTTTATTCAACATAGTGTGTAATATATTCACTATTACAGTAAATACAGAATGTAAAGATGAAGCGCATCAGTCTGAACATTGAGCCAGAGAAAGAATTCACCAAAAATCAACCAAATAAAATCATCACAGATGGATTCATGTTCATCACAAAGTGAAGCTCTTGTTTCCGCCTCTTTGAAGCCCCGAGTGCTTCCAATCAAGTGTTCATATAGAAATATTAAATATATCGTGTTGCTTGCTTCTAGATTTGTACTTTATTATACTTCTCAATCCCGAGGAGGCCAAGGCTCCTAATCGCAGTATCTTTGTGTACCTGTATATAAATATATATATTTGTCTTTTCTTCATTTGGCTATTGTCCTGTATTGTGTATTTTATGTCATATTGCCTTAACCTGATTCACGCCGCCTTTATATTTTGTACATTCTCTGCACAGCATAAACATATGTTAACCTCTTGCTATGATGTTTTTGTAACTTTTCAACATATTATATCTTGTGAGTTTTGCCTGTAGCAGTGTATCGAGTGCTCACCGTATTAAAGGTGATCTGATCACACGTGGTGCTTCAGTGCTTTGTCTTCTCCGCTCCAGAGAAATGTTTTATTGTAATATTTTAACGGAAGAATTTAGGAAAATGTGAGAAAACTATTTGGTGAGAAGAGAAAAAGTATTTTCTTTCTCTTTAAATAATGAATTAAAAAATTCTGGTTAAAAAGGTTGAAACAAACTGATTAATAGGAGACGACAAGAAAACTGCGAACAGTTTTGTTTATAGCATTTTTTGGTCTATTTGAGTCGAAAATAATTAGAAAAATATGAAGAAAATTTACATGAAAGTTAATTTTTATAAACTATTTAAAAATGATTGAATTTTGGATACATTAATTATTGTCTCCATGTTATTCTTGTAGTTTTGATCAATGTGATTGCCTCAAGTGTCCACTAGATGGCGCTGTGAACACATGTTGGCTCTTTAAAGCCTCTGCTCCTGTTGGACGATCTGCTCCCAGTTAAGCCTTTGATGGTTAAGGACTAAACCACTGACAGTGAAGTAATGACTGTAAAGCACTCAGAACTGTACCTATCTTTAACATTTAAGGATTTATCAACTCATAGAAACGAATAACAACATATCATATGACATATTTACAGCCTTAACTGAAGGAACAATACACAGTATATATATTATAATGTAAACGTTGAACTCTTCTTCCCCCGCAGAAGTCCACTGGACTGTAACCTGACATCCATTCCCTCATTCGAAACAATCAAAGATGTGTATTCACTGCTTTATATTCATTGTAATAACCATGACAACCAGATACTATCATCATGTTTTCATTCATAAGTTCGGCATGCACCATCACAACAGGAAGTGTTAAAAAGGTTTCTGTCACTGTTGTTGTTCCTGACGTGACCTGTGACCCGCTGCGCGCTACCGACGTTAAATCAATGCCCTGGAAGCGCGCTCTGGTCCGGGAGAGAGCAGCAGCAGCAGCGCGAGGGAAGAGGGGAGGAAAGAGGAGAGGAAAGAGGAGAGGACGAGGACGAACATTCAACTTTATGGCGGTGTGATTTGTAATGAAATTCGGGCTGAAAGTCTCTCGCAGGATGTGAAGTTTAAAAAGGATTTGGAGGATTTGACGGATGGTCCCGTTACTCTCGCGCGTCTGTTCTAGTGTGACTTCAGTAATGGCGTCGGTTTGAATCACGTGCTTGTTATCCCGGGAAAAGCTGCAGGTTTCTGCTGGACTCTGCTGGACTCTGCTGTCTGCAGCGGGTGTGATATGAGTGGAGAGTTTATGGATCTTCAGTGGGAATAAATCAACATGTACTCTGCACGGAAGAGAAGGAAACCGGCTCAGAAGGGGTAAGTCTGTTATTTAGCATTATAACTAACTTCATCTCTTCTTTTATTAATACATAATTACACTTATTGTATTTAAATATACATAAAGAAAATAGCATTTTTGATTAATAGTCTTTATATTTTTGTAGTTATGGATTATTGAGAATAATAAAACAAGTTAATAAACATAAACCCATAAATATACATGCTTATCCACACCTATATATCTGTCATTAATAATGCTAATATACCAATGCTCTAATTAGCACCACATTAAATAACAAGTAACATGAAAGTCATGAATATGTGAATAATCCAATTTCAGTGGAAATAAATCATAATTTGTGGGGAACAAATTGCAATATCTGTGCAATGTTTTCATGGCTTTTGATGAAATTTCCCCAAAATTCAGCCTCACAGATGTTGGTTTAGATCTAGACTGTATAGATCTGTATGCAATGACAATAGAACCTCAGTATTTGCCCCATATGTCAGTTATTGTTCACTTGATAATGATGAAAAGTGTTGAATATCACGGCCCCCTGCAGAGTGAAGCCGACCCAAACCGAAAGCGCCAAGTCCAACCCGTCCAAACGGCACCGCGACCGGCTGAACTCGGAGCTGGACCGGCTCGCCAGCATGCTGCCGTTCCCCGAAGACGTCATCTCCAGCCTGGACAAGCTGTCCATCCTCAGGCTCAGCGTCAGCTTCCTGCGCACCAAGAGCTTCTTCTCCGGTAAGCAAACACCAGCTCATGATTATTACACCACACAGGTGAGAGCAGGTGAGAGCTGCAAGATTCACACCTTAAACTGAGGAAGTAGAACAAGATCTGAGCAGGAATCAGCACGTTCTGCGTACTAAAGGACTTTGACGGCATCAGCAGTGGTTTAACAGCGGTGACGATGAAGAATGTTGAAATTGAGACAGATAGAGAGAGAACGTGAAGCTGCTCAATGTCGGTCTGGAAACAGCTGCTCGGCCCTTCTTCCTCCCCGCCTCCCGAAATACTGAAATAGCTCTTCACACCTCGCACAGGACCCGCGGACACAGAGGAGGAAACAAGCAGAAACAGACACAGTGGAAGGTTTGAAGTGAAGAGAGAGAAGGTCAGGGAGGGTCTCACAGCAAGTGATGAAGACGAGGGTAAACATCAACAATCCACCATACTGTCCTTCTGGTTTCCTCATATTTGAGACTACAAATGCTGTTTGTTTGGCTGAAAAGATAAACTCAAACGCAGCATTGTAGAAACTCCCCAGCCTTGAGCTGAATGTATGATCTCAGAGGAGAAATAAAGCTTCTTACTTCATCTCATCACTTCTTCCTCCCAAAGAAATCTGTGTTCTCTGTGGATTTTACAAGCCCGGCATTCATTTTAGCAAGAAAACAAACGTGTATAAGCGTCTGAAAGCTGCACACTTAAATCTGGTGTGAGGTGCTGCTGCCTCAGACCATCGTATATTTTAATATTTTGTATTTGAGGAGCTGCCTACGTGAACTGAAGGTGTGAACTATTCCCCACGTGTGCTTGAACGATTCCCTTTGAGAGAAACCTCGGCTTCATATCTCGTGTGCAGGAACCTCCTTTTCTCAGACAGCAGATCTATTTTCTGTGTTTCTAAAAAGCGCTGAAACACGCTGACCCTGCAGAAACAGGCCAGCAGACCCGTCCCTGTTTAAGTGAACCCTGGACGACCCCCCCCCCCCCCCCCCCCCCCTCCCCGGACCTCGTTCCATGTGTGACGG